AATGATTGCTGAGAAATCCAATAGAGTGAGTCATATATTTGAGAGATTTTTTTTTCACTGTTTTGCTTGAAAATAAATATAATATTAATGTATTAAAACCTCAAGTTTATGCATAGCCAGTGAGTAATTTTATTCTAGCCTGGCTAGCTGGCCTACTGACATGCATTTTCACCACTGCTAAAAATAATGAGGAATCCAAGTGACACACATTTATGGCTAGGAGTGCCATCAGATCCCTTGACCTAATTGAGCATGCCTACACACCTTAGAGTGTTTTGCATAACCAACTTAGACAGCAGGAACATTTCCAACCAGATTGATTGACATATTTTATTTCTAACTTAAGCTTAATCAGGACCAAGAATGATTCATTTATACCTTTCAAACTTTAGGAATTGACACAGGAGACAACCAAGCTGCAGACTCCAGTGTAAGCAATCATGTAAAGGAAAAAATATAGATTAATATAGTTTATTAGCCTACTTAGCTGCTGTGGTTGATGTAATAAAATTAATTAGTTAGCTGGTAGGGGAGTTACTTTATTTTATAAAATAAATGTCAAGCTAGACTTTTTGCAGGAAAGGATTTTTTTCTAAATCCTCCACCACTAAACATTTATCTGAAGTAACGTACAGAATCTAGAGCTACCTTAAGGTGCAGTTTGATTTTTTTTTTTTTTCAGAAACCGGCTGGATGAGAGCTCATCTCCCAGTAATAATCACATTGACTCAAATTGAAAGAGTTTCCGGCTTTTAAGGTGTAAAGTACCTTCAAATAAATATCAGCAGTTTCCAAATGCCATGCCTTAAACAGGAACAAAGCCTAATAGAATAGACTGTAATAAAAGTGCTATTTCCAGCATGTGTGTATGTGGCTGCCCTACGCTGAAAATGTCCTTTAGCACTTTTTAACCATATTCTCTAGTGTGTCAGCAAAGAGACTCCATCAGAGTATTTAACATTGCTGGGAGCAAAGGAATAAAGTGGAGTCACTGTTGATTATTACTCATTAGCCACAAGGACATCCACTTAACATGTGAATAAATGAATGACACCATGTCCTAATGGAAATGGCCTCAGTGTACCTTTAAGCAAAATGTTGTTTAATATCTTCCATTTGCTGAATAGTAAAGAGGCCTGTTGGACATGCACAGCTAGCAAGCGGCCATTGTTGCTTTGTTCCAATTTCAGCATTTAATAAAAAAAGATGTTGTCTTGACTGCAGCAAAGCTGGGCCTCGAAACCCTGGGTGGCAGCACAGGCTTGTCCTCATTCTGCAAATTCAGAATTTCACTGGCTTCCTAAAGAGTTAATGCCCATAATGCAAATGAAGCCTTAGAAGGTACATGTTCTTCATTATTCTGCTTTACATTCAAACATATAAAACAAAGAACATCTGATATCTTTATTGGTTTTCTTAGATAAAACGCAAGCAAGCTATAAGCCTTAATTTTCTTATTACCATTTGTTAACAAGGAAGATAACACTCTCAAAAGTACTTGATTAGGGCTCCCTTTGATTTGTATCTTGTTATGATTGCCAGGGCATATATTTTTTGTATTATTACTTTAGTACACTGATGGTTCTGATCAAAGCGATAAAAATAGGTGTTTTAAAAGTGTAAATATTAACCATACAGGTAAACCACATAATCTGAACAGCATCTTGAATGCTGCCATGCTGAAGCACACATTGGGAAACCAGTCATAGCTGAGATATATGTCCCTATCTGGAAAGCTGGCAGTCCAGCCTGGAGGAGCCCTTTTGCTCCCAAACCCTTGCAGCAGCAACTTACATAGTTCACAACTTTTTTTTTTCTTTTACTTTTTTTTTTTTTTGACAGTATAGCTACTGAGAACAGCTGCAGAGATGGTATTGAAGCTATTTGGTATATCACATATGTAAATACACATGATCAGAATCCAGACAGCACACATCTGTTCTTACAGGAATGAACCAGCTTTAACTATCTAAGAGAAATAACAGCAAGTGCATCAGCTAACATGGAAGATTCGGAAGGGTATTTTAATGAATGGTCTGATGCCTGATTGTGAAAATTGTGCTGGATCTTTTCATTACTCTTGTGATTTTGTCTGCTAACAGCCAGCTGCACTGGAGGCAGCTCACTGCTGTTTCCCAGCTCACAGGGCTTTCTCCTGTCTTATCCCGGGCCATGATGGGCACTTTGGCTGCGGTGAATGGGGAGCCTGACACGGCCCGCTACGCCCGGCCGGCCGCTCCCACCAGAACTGGGTCTGACAAGTTGGAAGTCTCTTTCTCCTGCCCCTCCTGCCTCCTCCTCCTCGCCGACGCTTCCTCCGGCCAGCCCCGTGCAGACAGGGAGCGAGCGGGAGATGATTACATCAATCAGTGTCAGGTCTGGGAGCTGTGATTTATGAATATGCATAATGAGCTCTCACCTTTGAGAAGGACTAGCTAGGGAGATAATTGATTAGACAGGAAAAGAGCAGCCAACAGAGAGGGAGAGGGAGGCCTCTCTGCGCCGTCTCGGGCAGGCCTGGCTGGGGCTCCAGCGAGGCTGTCAAGCTGAGAGAGGGATTTCTGAAAAAAAATACGCGTAGGATTTTTAATGTTTTGTTGAAACACGCATAACAAAATGTTTCCTCACAAAATTAATGGGAATTTTCTCCACATTAGGGTAGGCAGCCAGGCAGGCACAAAGGCTGCTTTCCCCCTGCGGGGAAACCAACTTCTCACTTCCAGAAGCCAAAGGGGCGGCTTTCCCATGGCAGCCACGCTGCTGCTGCAGGAGCATCCCCACGGTCAGAGTGAAGGGAGAGGGCTCTGCAGGGACAGGGAGCCGAGGGGCTCTGTGTAAAGGCAAAGGAGCCTTTAATGGAGGTAAAAAGCTGGGGATGCAATTGTTTTCCCATCATGGTCTCATTATTTTCTTCCATCCCCTTTAAGCATCTGTCTGGCCACTGTGTGAAAGTTTCTATGGAAAACCCACCAGGATGCCCAGAGGAAGGGGATGTGGAAATTTGCCTCTAGCTTTTTCTCCCCCCACCCCTCCCATTTTAGATGCCATTAATCTTTTTTTTTTTTCTTTTTTTCCTCAGCAAGAATTGGCTAAAGAAAAAGCAGAATACAAAGTGCAGTGAGACTGGGTAAAATTTACATGAGAAACGATCCGTTTTCTAACTCCCCACCCACAGAGATTCCCCCATTTCAGGAGTCTGTCGGAGGAAAAGAGTGGGAACAGTTCCTGGAGGGAAGACAGAGAGCTGCACGGGGCTGCGAAAAGGCAAATGCTGTTTCTAGAGTGAGCTGTGGCCAGAAAGGACATATGGGGAAAGGCAGGGGACACAGGAGGGGGGATGAAAGCAGAGATCAGAACACTGCTGCAAACTCTGCGGGTCCCTTCCCTGGCCTCCTTTGCTCCCAGCCATTGCTACCAGAAGCCAGGGAGGCAGGCACCAGGCAAGGGGTCTCCCCATCATAATGCCAGCCAGGAAGAATATTAATTGTGAAACATTAAAACATTATATAAAATGTGTGTATATACACACACACATATATAGTGTAAACATATATATAAATCTTATCACTTACAAACGCCTAGGATTTAAAATGTAGTTTATCGGCCTAGTGCAACTCAATCCTATAAATAATACATTCCTATCACTATGACCTCAAAATGTCAATACCGCACAGCCCTGTGCATTTGCATATCTTGTACTGTCTAAACTTGAAGCATGTCAGCTATGTGCTTCTGTTTGTACTTTAACTTCATTTTAACTCCTGCTTCCTCCGAGCACCCTCCCCCCTCTGCAGGGTCTGTCACCAAAACGAGAAAAGCACCAGCTATTTAATCACCACCACTGTAATTATGCCGTTTCCAGGACTGTAAGGAGAGTACAGGTAGGGGGACACATCCCCCCTGGCAAAGGAGGAAGAGCCTGGGAACAAAAGCAGGAGGGAACCGGCCCGTGAGCTCTACCTGCCCGAGCTGCCCCCTCATCCTCGGCACCGGCTGCTGATGGTACATGGGGAAGGGAGAGGGCAACAGCTTTCGCCCTCCCACCAACACTCCCTTGGGATGGACTCCGAGCGGGAGAGGACCTCTCCCAGATCGGGCCGATTTCCAGCACTTCGCCGAGGAAACGAAGCTACAAGTTTTGGAAGCGACGGCTCGGCTCCGGGCGCAGCGGGACGCGGCAGCTCCCGGGGCGATGCCGGCGGAGGAACAGCCGATCCCTCCCGGGGCCGGGGGCGGCGGACCAGCCCGGGGGACGGCGGGGCGCGCAGCCCGCCCGTCCGCAGCGGAGCGGGGCTCCCTGACGGGGTACACCGCCGCCCCGCCTCGCTACCCGGTGCCCCCATCCTGGCCGGTACCTCTCACCCAAATGCCAGCCCCCGGGAGCGGGGGGATGCCCCGGCCCCGCCGCCTTGGGCAGCCCCAGACCCGCTCCCCGCTCAGCGGCACAGACTACCCGTGCGGAGCACCCCAAAAGTGACCCCTGGGATGCGCGAAAGCAGGATGGAGGGCGGGGAGGACTGGGGGCAGAAATAACCCAGCTGCGCTGCCGACCCGCGGCCACACCACCGACCCCCGAAGCTTCCTTCCAATTAACCCCCCCGCCCCAGCCCCGCTCCGCAGGGGCGGGGTGGGGAGAGTCAATAGCGGCACCCCTCATACTGCCCTCGGGGTCCACGGATCATCTGCCCGCTGCTCCCCCCGGGGCTCCCCCCGGCGCCATCCCCCGCTTCCCTGGGACGGGGCGCTGTCCCCGCATCCGCACGCGGAGCCCCGCACCCCCCGCCACCGCCTGCAGGGGGCGCTGCGGCTCCAGCGATCGGCGTCGGGAAGGGCCCGGCCCGGCCCGGCCACCGCGACCCGCGCAACGCCCGGGGATGAACCGCTCCCGATGCCGCGGGAAAACAGTAACCGGCGCGGGGAAGGTGGGAGGAGTGGGGGTGGAGTGGGGAGGGGCGGGACTCGAGTAGGAAAACAACTCCAGAGGTGGGGGAAACGAGAAGTGTAGTCAAAGTGGCAACAGTTTATTTATTAGCCAAAAATATATACTTTCTTGTACAATTTGGTTCACACGTATGTACATTTTTTTTAAGGTATGTACAAAAAGAAAAACAAAACCCAAACAACAACAACAACAAGAAAAAAAAAAAAAAAAGGAAACACCTAATTCTCACTGGACTTCCGAAAAAACCTCACGACTCGACTCAGCTAACCCAGGTGATAGTACAGAAGCGGGTATTTTTTTTCCTTTTTAGTTTTAATATACGGACATGCTTACAAGTTGTAATTATACAGAGATTTTTTTACAATCATTACAACAACAATAAAAAATTAACTATGATGATGAGAGCGCCGATAGAACCATAGCGGCGTCAAGTTGGTTCTGGGGCCTGGAAAAAATGACACAGAAAAAAAAAATTTAATAGGATTTCTAATTATCTTGGGCTGGCACAATATTTTTAACTGCAGGTAGCTCTGGTTTTGTTGTTGTTGTTATTTTTTTAAATAGATCTATAAATATAAAAAGTTTTCAGAGTGACTTATGCTAAATGTATTTAGCCACGAAAACACCGCGGGCCCGATTCCCGTGGTTTCAATCAATCAAAGGAGTAATTGGTTTCTCATTGAAATTGAGTGACTGTTATGCCAAAGTCGGCAGGGCTCAGCCTCTTCAGCTTTCATACACTGGTTGGGGGATTTTTGTTCTGTCTTTATTATTTTATATTTTTTTACTTTAATTTACTATTTTCTGCTGCCGCAGTGTCTCTCCTCCCGACCAAGCGACAGCGGCGGGTGGTGATCCGCGCTGCGAGGGGCCCGGGGATGCGCTCCCGGCCAGGGGCGACCCGCGCCCGGACACCGCAGCCGCGCGGCCCCGCTGCCCCCGAGCGCGGCTCGGCCTGCCCGCGAGAATCGCTCCCGAGGGCCAGAACGGAGAACAGCAAAGAAAATATATGATCAGAATAACCCACCACGCACGCAGAGGAAGAACAAGAAACCGCCCTGGAAAGGGAACTAAAGAAGCGGAGAAAATAAGCTAACCATTTACAACTGCCTCCATACATCCCGAGGAGACGGAGGGAGCCATCTCTTACCGCCTCTGCACTGGCTGGAAAGCTGTCTTTAGTAACTTTTTCTCTACTTCCAAGGCACTAGATCGATCTAAAAAGAGAAGGGGAAAAAAAAGTGTTCCTTTATAGCCCCCGTTTTATTCCTCCCATCCCTGAATTAAGCCTCGAGATTCAAGATCTTTTCTCAGCGAGTTGCAAATACGACACAACGACTGCTCTGCTGCAGGGGTGACCGTCAGAGAAAACACACCGACCCCCGAGCGAGCCTGACCTGGCGGCCGGGTCCTTCCCGCAAAAGCGACGACAACAGCAACAAAAAATTATCTCCGTTGGAGGAAGGTAATTCTCGGGGATCGAGGCTACCCTGGCCAGGAGACCCCCGCCTCCGCCCCCGGGGCCCCCGTGGCCGCCCGCCCGCCGCCACCTGCGCCCCGACGGCTGCTCCGCGCCGGGCCGGGCCGGGGGCACCGTGAGAACCGCGCGGGGCCGGCGCCCCCCGCCGCGGCCCCACGCACACGGCCCCGCTGGGCCTCCCGCACCACTCCGCGCCGCCGAGCCCCCCGCGGTGGCGGCCGGCCCGTCCCGTCCCCGCCGCGTCCCTCAGCGGTCACCTGCTCCGACGGGCTCCGCGCTCTGCGCCTGGTCCGCGGGCCGCGGGAAGGCGGCGGCGGGGGGGGCGGCGGAGGCGGCCCCCAGCCCCAGCAGGTGGGGAGTGTTCAGTAAGGCCAGCGGGTGCGGGGGGTGGTGGTGGTGGTGGGCCGGGAAGGCGCGGTTGGTCCAGTTGGGGAACTTGCCCAGAGGGCAGGAGGAGACGAGTCTGTGGGGCGGCGGGGTGGACAGCGGCAGCGGCTGGGGGGCGGCCGCCGGCGGAGAGCCGCCGCCAGGAGACTTGCGGGGGTTGTCCGGGCTGGTGGCCGTCTCGGCCAGCGACCAGATCTTTGGCTTCGGCAGGGCGCCGGCCAAAGCGCCGTCCGTCGGGGAGGAGGCGGCGGAGGAGGAGGCAGAGGAGGGGGGCGAGAGGTGGGGCGGCGGCGGTGGGAGAGGTGGCTTGAGGGGCTCCGGGCCGACGGCTGCGGCGGTGGCGGGCAGCTCGCACTTGTGATGGTGGTGATGATGGTGATGGTGGTGCAGGTGGTGGTGGCGGAGGTGGTGCGGCTCCCCCTCAGCGGCCTTGCCGTAGCGCTCCTCGGAGCCGGGCAGGTCCTCGAAGCCCTCGGATCCCTCCGAGTCCGTCTTGGAGTCAGAGTGCAGGAGGTCGGCGTCCTGCAGATCGTCCTCGAGCTCGTCCTTGTTGCTCTCGATGTTCTCGGTGTCGATGTTCTCCAGGTCGATCTCCTCCTCGTCCTCCCTCTTGTCCTCTTCCCCCTCGTGGTCGCTGCCGTAGGAGTTGCCCTCCTCGTCCGTCCTGCTGCGGGGGGCCCAGGTCATTTTGTTCTCCTTCTTGAGCCGCCGCCGCGCGTTGGCGAACCAGGTGGAGACCTGAGTGAGGGTCATTTTGGTGATGATGGCCAGCATGATCTTCTCGCCCTTGGTGGGGTAGGGGTTTTTCCGGTGCTCGTTGAGCCAGGCCTTGAGGGTGCTGGTGCTCTCGCGGGTGGCGTTCTTGGGCCGCGACGGGTCCCCGAACTGGTACTGCCCGTAGGGGTAGAAGGCGGGGTGGTGGGGGGGGAAGGCGGCGTGCTGCACCCCCGGGCTCTCCTTCAGCTCGTACTGGGCGCCCTGCAGCGAGAGGGAAGGGGCGGCCCGGCTGAGACAACGCGCCGGGCCCGGGGCCGCTCCGTCCCGCCGCCGTTACCGGGAGCAGCGCCCGCCGGCACCGGCGCGGCGGCCGGGCCGTGCTGCCTCCCCCACCACCGATTCCCCCGGCCGCGATCCCGGGCACGCTCCAGCCCCGGTACCCCGGTACTCCGGCCGAGCAGCCGGTGTCCGGGGGTGCCCCGGGGGCAGGACCGGCTCCCCTGGTGCGTGTGCGCGGCGGGGCCGGCGGCAGCCGGGGCCGGTCCCCGCGGCCGTCAAACCCCCGGGCGGAGCGGAGGGAAGCCGCGGGGCCGCCGTTCCAGCCCTGCCCCTCTCCGGCGGCTCTCCATGGGCAAGGCGGCGATAGCGCCCGTCTCTCCCCTGACAGCCCTCCCAGCGTCTCCCCTGGCGTTCCCGGGGCCGATCCCCAGCGCGAACCGAGCGCCCCGGGGGGCGAGCGGCGAGCCCCGGGGGCCTCTTACCAGCTGGGGGAAGATGGGCAGCTCTGCGGCGTAGGGCAGGAAGGCTCCGTAGCCCTGGGCGGCGGCGGCGGCGGCGTAGGGCGCGCCGTACATGGAGGAGAGCACGTTGGAGAGGGTCCCGGACGGGGCCAGCTCGGCGCCACCGCGGGAGCCGCCGCTCCCCGGGCGCTCCGCCGGGTAAAGCGGCCTGATGTACTGGTAGCCCAGCTGGGGGAAAGACATGATGGGGGAGCGGGGTAGGGGAGGGGGGAGGAGGAGGAGGGGGGGGGGAAACGAGAGGAAGAAGGGAGAGAAAGGGGAGAAAGTAGCAGGGCCAGGAGCGGAGGAGGGAGCCGGGTCGTTCGCCCTCGCCAGCCGCCCGCACTTTCAGCGCCTCCCGCAAACTCCGGCGGACATGGGGGGGGGAGCCGGGGGTGCGCGGAGGCCGCGGTCTCCCTCCTGTTCTCGGTCGCCGCGGTAAACGATCCGATCGCTTCTTTCTTCTCTCACTTTTCCTATTGATCTGAGTGGACCCAGGTCAGGTCCTAACAGATTGCCTGAGATTATTGGGACTCTGGGCTCTGATTGACATTTCTAGTCTCTCACAAGCCCCTCCTATTTCTTTTAAGTCTCTCTCTCCCTCTGCCTCCCTCTCTCTCTCATGCCCAGAGCTCGCTCTCTCCGGGTTTGTCACTAGCTGCTTTTTTTTTCTTTCTTTTTTTTTTTTTTCTAAATCTGTTTACTGACGTCGCGATCTTTTATTTGAGTTGCTTTCAAATCTCGTTTTAGAGATCGCCAATCAGTTGTGTGTTTTACAAAGGTTTAACCCTGCCTCATGGTATTCTAATTATATAGAGATAGATTTAGATATAATTTCTTTCTTAGACCCCACTCTCCTGGAGCATGGGAAGCTGGGGTGTCATTTGTGAGCGGCACACGAGAGGAACAGGGAAAAGTTGTGACATTTAAAAATAAAGGCTCACACCACCACCATCCCCCAGTCCCCCTTTTCAGGTTTTCAAATTTACAACCTTTCCTTGCCCATATTTTCTTTCTTTATTAAGATATTCCCTCCTTCCTTTCCCCCGCTCCGGCCCTGGCGAGGGTTACATCTCCTAATATAGATTTAAAAGTCCATTGGATTTTTTTTTAATTTGCATTTCCAGAACTACCTCGAAAAATTTCCTAATGTACAGGATCTTTAAGGAGTCCTCTACGTTTTGTCTGGGCTAACAGTGCGCAGATACAGTGGAAAAGCTAAGTTAATTTTCCTCCTAATAAGGGACTTCAAAGAGTTGTAGGTCACAATTTTACATCAAAGGCAGAAAAGAAGGCAAATTAAAATCTTAACAAAGGAGAGACGGGAGCAGCCCTCTGGGCCATTAGTAAATAAGTGGTGTGAAAAAAGGGACAATGACAGGCACTGGAATTAAACTCATTAACACCTTTTTGTCTTGGTGCGAAATCTCTAATTAGGAAATTTATGATCATTTTGCTTATTCCCTCTGTTCTGAATCACTACAAGGCTAAGAAGGAAGTACCTGGTACGTGAAACATTTGCAAAGGGAGCAGTGGCACGGGTTTGTAAGGAGCTATTGGGAAGGAGTCAAGATACGGTTTAATTACAGAATAAGGTTTGGGCTTTTTTTATGATCCACACATTTTAAATTACGGTTTGTTTTTTTGTTGTTGTTGTTATTACCCCCCCCAACCCCCTTTCCTTCTCTGAAACCAGCGTATGAGTTGCAATTTAGTCTTTTAAGAGTAGTTAAATACAGTTCAACCACAGTTCGTCTTTGCCAAGCTCCGGTGTGCCCTGCTCCGCTGCTGCAGGCAGAGGAAAAGCCTGGGCTGGAACCTAAAAAGTTCGCATAACTTGTGGGGAAAAGGGACCTGAACCTGCCACCGTTATCTACTTTTTTAAATTCTTGGTGTTTAAATAAAACAAAAAGTTTGAAAGGTCTTTTGAGGAGCTGAGGCTGAAGGAGAGCCGTTTAACCGTATTCCCCTCTCTTCCTAAATACTCTCTGGATTTATTGCCTTTAAAATATGATTTAGGTACAATATAACCACTGCGCCCACAGTATGGATTTTTATAACTACATTTCTTTAAAAATGAAATTCATGTCAGATTATGCAGTTAAAGGAATCGACCTTGATAGCTTGCTATAATAAAACTGTATCAGCTTGTAATAAATGCGGATTATAGCAAAGCAAGCTCCAGAATTAAAATTCCCTGAATCAATATATGAAAATCTGTAGGAAACATCTCTAATCGTATTAAGTTCATCTTTATAGCATTTCCTATCTGCTAATCTAGTGCAAAAACAACTCTGTGTTGGAGGAATTTATTTTCTTCTATTCAATGTTGGTGCTTTTGATAGTACAATGCAAGGGAGATAACAATATTAAATTCAGTTATAAGTTTATTTCTTTTTAATTCAAAAGGAAAACAGGCAGCCAACGCCACGTCCTGATGTGCTTTAAACTTTTCTGTAGGCAGCGCTCGCTGGTGCGATGCGATGTCGAGGGGGTCGGCGGAGAGTTTGGGTGCATATCGCAACTTTTAAAAATATCTACCTTGCAGAGAGAAGGGTCTAATAAGAAAAATGGGATAAATAGGTCGCCGTTTGATCCAGTCGTGCTCACCACGCTGGTGTTACAGTAGGGCTGTGACCCCCACACGCGGGCACGGGGGCACACGCTCGTCCCACAAAACCAGACCCGTTCTTCTGCGGCTGGACGTCTGGCACGGTGTGTCAAAGCTGGCGGGATTATTTTCTGAGTTTTAATCAACAGCACAATCAATATGAGTTCGTCCCTGCGGGAGCCGCCGGCAGTGGCGGGCGGTGTTGGGGTGGGGGCGGCCGGGGGCTCCCCAGAGCCGGGGGGGGCTACCTCGGCAGCCGAGAGGGAGACACGGGAGGAGAGAAATTTATGGGTGCGAATGGATCCAGGTCAGGGTGAGGGTGAGGGATGGTTTATTAATGGGCAAGAAGCGGAGAGGAAGTGTAGCCGTACCGGGAGGACAGGAGGAGAAATCAGTAGGGATGCCGTTCTTGGCTGAGGGGGAGGGAAAAGAAAGCGGAGAAGGCAGTAAACGGTGGGGAAGAGCGGCACCAAAGGAGGCGTCTTCCCGGGAGTGCGGGAGCGATGCCCACGGCGAGAAGCGCCGCACGTCTCCAGCAGCGGGAGGGCCGCTGCGGGACGGGGAGAGCGCGGGACTGGGGGCGGCTGGTGCCGGGCGAGCAGAGCAGCCTGGCAGGGCAGGGCGAGCGGGAGGCGGCGACGGGAGCCGAGCAGGGAGCAGAGCGAAGCCCGTTCCCCGCTGACGAGGAAATAGCAGGGGAAGAGCGAAGCTGAGCGGGAGACACTTTGCCTGGAGTCGAAAGGAGATGAGAAGGGGAGGCTGGAGCCGGCCCGTCCTGCGGGGCGACGAGGGAGCGGCGCGGGGCCCGACGGCCGCCGCCCCCGGGGAGCCGCGGCGGCGGAGCGCTCCTCGGCCGGCCGGACACGTGTCTCCTGGCCGGGACCTGTCAGAGCAGGGAGAGCGGCTCCTGATTTATCACCCGAAACACATACACACCCCCGCCCGCCCTCCCCCTGGCCTCGAATCCCGCCTCTCCCGGCGGCTCTCTGCCTCCCCGAGCTAAAATCAAACCTCCCTCCGGCGGCCGCGGGGCTTCCCCGAGTCCGCTGCCGGCTCCGGGGCTGGGGGTCCGGACACCCTCCGTGGGCAGCATCGTGTCCGCCCCGATGCCCTCGGGACCCTCGTCTCTATTCCCGTCTCTCATACCCCTCCGCGCCCCTCTCCATCAGATCACGAACGACCCCGGGGACCGAGGTGGCCCCGGCCCCAGGGTGTTTCTCCGCCGCAGTGCCCGTCTGAGGAGCCGGAGGCGGCGTGCTGGAAGTTGCGGGAGAGGTCTAGGCAGGGCTGAGGGTTCAGGCAGACTCCCGCGGGGAGCCGGGATGCGGGTAGGGTGGGAGCTGCGGCGTGCGGCAGCACACGCGGAGACGGGGCGCAGCCACCGGGGGAAGGGGGGGTAAATAAACAAGTGGGATTAGGAGAAGGGCTGCAGTAAAACAAGAGTTAAAAAATAGAGGGAAAGATCAAAGCACTGGGTAAAAGACTCTTCAAATTACACGTTTGAAGCTTTTCCATAATTCCAAGGCGACAGATAGATAACAAGCTGCACATTCCTTATCACATATGGAATCAATCTGAAAGGAGTCTCTTGATCAGAATCTGTTAATTGCAGTGACATATGATTTGGAAAGAAAACACAATTAATGACCCTTCATGTTAAGACTTTGGGACGAGGCCACTGACAATCCGCACTCTGCAGCCAACATCAACTTTATTATTATCGGTAGTAGTAGTACTACTAGTACTAAACTATTAAAGGGATACATTCTTCGAGCCTCGGTGAGTGTTTTGTCTCCGTTCCCATTGCAGGTTTCTTCAGAAGGGGGAGGAGAAGAGAAGGGGACAAGAGTGCGTGTGCGCCTTTCCTTCAAGGTTTGGGGAGCTAAAATGATTTAGTACCTTGTCTGTAAATCTAATGACCTAAGGTGAGAAAAAATACTTCATCTTTTATTATTGCCATTTGTGGTGAGCGTTACCAGGAAACAGCAGAACCCTTTTGAAATGGTAAATATATGTATCCATTTAAAACCCATTATTGCTGAGATTTTCCCAAAGAGAAATAAAGCAAATCTGCCCAATCCCATTTTCTAGCGCCCTCTGTCCACGGCTCCCCTTGGCTCGGCCGCTCCTTCCCGGCCGCTGGGACCGCCGAGCCTCGGCGGAGCCTTCCTGACGTGCTCTGGGTGCTCAGGGTACGGGGGGGCCCCTGCAGCAGCAGTGTGTGCTCCGCGGCTGTTAATGTGCCACGCGTTCTGTAATGTTAGGAAAGGAGGTAGTAACATTTTTAAAAGCTTTACTCTGTCATTAAAAGGTATTGGCTTTGTTTTAGAAGGGAGAGGGAGAGGTTCATTTGAAGGTTAGAAAGCATACACTTTAATAGGATCGAAGTGAAATTAGTTAATAAGAAAATGCTGGCCAGAAGCTCTCCGGGCTTTTAAGTGCTCTTCAGGCCATTTAGGGAAATTGAATAAGAACAGACTCCGTTACCTGCAGCCCAACTATTATCTTCAGTTCTGCACAGAGGCGAGAAGGGAAAAATAGTGCCTGAGAGACCTGAAGTCCCGTACACCTCCTGCCAGCCTGTTTCCTCGAGAAATAATGCCCCCTTTCTGCTCGCGGGCGTGTTCCCCTGCTTCTGCCTGTAAGCAGCCCAGGCTACAGTGTGTACCACAAGGGGGTAAGCAAAGGTAAGGGGCCATCAGCAGATACTGAAGGCTGCGAGGGCACCTCTGTGCAAAGCCTGGTTAGAGCCGGGACAAAGCTGGCCTCTTGGTGTTTTTTCTTCCCTTTCATTTCTCTGAGATTTTTTTTGTTGGGTTTTTCTTCCCCCCCCCCATCACCATTGTGGTGCTTTGTTGAATTGCGTTCGGACCGTTGCCAGTAGGTCAGTATATTGTGTTACCCGACTTCCGATCTGCTCTCTTTCTCCCTACCTTTAAACTTTATAGTTTTTAGAGGTGTTAATAAAACCTTTCCTTTGGTAAATCGTTCATTGGAAACCCCACCGAAACCTGGAAAGACTTCAGAAAAAAAAGCAGCTCTCAGGAACGAGGGGTTGGGAGAAGGCTTTTGTCCAAAAACTGCATAATTGCCGTGAATCTTAGGAAACATTAATCTTTATAGGAATTTGTGATTCATATCTGTGGTTTGACCATTTAGGTGATTTACAATCTGTTAGTGCAATTCACTAATTTTATGCCAATATATTTTATGCGCCCGGTTAGATTTTCCATCGCCCATCGGAATGAGTGGCTGGTGTGCCTCGCCGGTGTCAGCGTGGCTCCGTGACTCCGGCGAGGCCGGTCCCGGCGCTGCGCGGGAGCGGAGGAGTAGGCGCAAAATGCGCATAGCTGTGGGAAACTTCCCTTCCACATTTTCCTCGTCCTCAGCCCTGGTGCTTCTCGGTCGGGCCGGGACCATCCCCACCCTCCTGCGCTGCTGCGAGGATGTCCGCGGCTCCGGCGAGAGGGCTGCAGCCTTTGTGAACTGGAGCCGAGGGTATCCTGAGTTTCTCGAGCTTTACCAGCGAGTTTAAACCCAGATTATTTCTCCCTGCTGCTCCATTCCCTGGCACGCCCTCGAGGGAGCCTCTGGCAGCGGGGAGCCGCTCCCCGTCCGGCACCGTGGGGGGCTCACGCCTCCCCTCGCCCTGACCGCCCCCCCGGACCGTCGCCGCCGTGGGACGGTGCCTCTCCAGCTTCCCCGGCGGTACCTCCTTCCCTCGTCCCCGGGATGGGGCCGGTGCATCCGGCGGGGGGGTTTCAGAGGCAGCTGGAGGTGCCGTGGGTGGAAAACGCAGCTCAAACGACACCTCTGGAGGCTCTCCGTGTGGCAGCAAAGAGGGGCATTCCCCGCGTGGGGTGTTCCAGCACTCTCCGGCCGCCGCATGGGAGAGACGGGGATGGGGATGGCTCCGTGTAATTTGTAACTGGGTTTATTAGCTGGAGGGGAAAACACAAGCAAATAAAAGGAGCAGCAGCTGCGCTGAAGATAACACTACGCGGAGTCTAATCTTGTGACACAATCATTAATTATTATTGTATTAATTACTATTTTTCCAAAACACTCCCTGCCCGGAAGAGCTTACAGCCCACATCTGCTGTGTAATGATACTCTGAGTACAGAAACGATTCCCCCATTAGGTCCCAGGTAGTGTTTACAAATGGCAACACCTACAGTATCAAAGCCCATCATCTTGCAGCCTGAGATTTTCTGTCCCATCGGCCTGGCTAGGACGATTTTGATGCCGATAAAATACATTTAAATATCAAAGTCTTTATTCACGTACATATTCCGTCCAAACTTTCAGATCGCGGTGCCGTAACTGCTTTATTCGCTCTTCATCCCACGGATGCTGCCTTATATCAGTAACAAACAAGCATTGATTTTATGGTAAAGTCACTTTGGGATGGGAATGAGTAACTCCAGGCAGTGCTATCACTGTATTACATGGAAATGGCCCAGGTAACAAGATGAACATTGATTCAGCATTATGTTTGATCAATAATGAAATAAGTAACTTCAGGGCCAAATTAAAATGCAAGCTGGCTTAACGCTGCCAGCTTCTGGGCTAAGTGACAAGGCTAATTCAGCAGGGAAATGGCAATATTTGCATTAGAGGCTGCATCTGTTGTTTGGTGGAAGAGGCTGGATCTGCAATAACGCCGGATGGAAGTGCAGGGAGCGGGTTTGGGGAGAGCCGGGCCGTTGTGCCCGGGCCGGGGGGAGCTGCCCAGGCGGGGCAGCGCTGCTTGCCCCGAGTTGCCCTCGGCTCCCGGCCACGACGTTGCAGAAAAACCACTTCATGGCGGGTAACAGCAACCCAGCGCGCTGCGGTTCGCGGATAACTAGATGGTGTTGGCACTTAGCGAAGGAAATACAATGTTGTAACCTCCTCGGCGGGCGGGAGCTGGGCCCTGCTCGGCCCGAGGCCCCAGGCCCGGGGAGGCTCCGTGCAGTGTCCTGGACGTGAGTGGGCAAGGGGAAGGGACTGAGGAGATGAGTGGGAGCATGACCAGAGCTCCCTGCATCGGCGGTCTGTGGTCCGGTTTATTTGCTGTTCTTTCCGTGGCCGATTTTCACATCTCAGCCATGTTACCGGGACGGTGACGTGGTTTTGATTCCCAGTAGCGATTGTCGCCTTCAGCTGGGACTGAGTAGAGCCACCGAGGACTAAACCTCGGAGTGGAATGTCTGTCAGGTGTAACCCTGTGCCCCAAACCGGAGCTGGGGCCGTCGGAGAGTGAAGCCCGCAGCAATTTCCTTGTGGGAGCTGGGCATCTCCCCCGTTCCGTACCGAGGAGATGTTACCACCGGGACACCAATGAGCACCGGGGGAGGGTGGAGGGGAGCCGGAGGGGATGAGAGAGAGCTGGAGGTGCCGATGTGTGCGGGTGAGGAGATTGTGGACAGAAACAGAAAGACAGGACAGGCAGGCGGCGCGCGACGTAAACTGGGGACACCTAGTAGTGGGGCATTTTTCTAAGTTGCTATTTTTTAAACTGATTTTTGAACCTTTCCTCCAATGTAGAAAAAAAATAGAGTCTCCCCAAAAGAAAATAGAGAAACCTTTCAGTGCAACCCTACTAAGCTGAGTGTGCCAGGGCCGTGTGTGCTTCTACCCCACTGCTGGAAATGTGTCCAAGGAAGAGCGAGCTGCCCCTGCGACCGGGGAGAGGACCAAGCTCGGCAGGAGCAGGGGAGAACCCGACGACGGCCCCGGCCGTGGGTAGCTTGATACAAGCCCAGCCCTGGCTCTGCCGCTAACTCAGTGTTGCCACGAAAACTGAGCCCTAAACCAGGCCCAGAGTGGCGAGGGTCGGCTGGAAATGAGTGATGCTCTACGTGAGGGATAGTCCAGGGGTCTGCAGCAGCGCTGGAGAGAACGGCTCTCCACCTACAAAGGGGCCCAGACGGCGGGAGCTCAGCTCCCCGGGCCAGGTGAGGGGATGGGGAAGGCGGGAGTGCGAGGCGTGGTACCGCACACCTCCCGCCCCTTCCAGGCGGCAGGATCCAGCCCCCTCCTTAGGGTGTCGGTGCAAGCTCGGAGGGGGGGTGCAGACCTGGGGGAGGTGAATTTAGGCCAGGAGGAGCGGGAGCACCCGCGTTACTTTGCTGGTGGTGGGGTCTCTTGCCGGCGTGTAGCGCAGCCGGGACAGCCCCAGCCCCGACACAGGGAGGGAGGGAGCCGCCCTGGACCCGCCACGCACCGGGAGCCTTCGGGGAGCGCGGGGCGAGCTGGGCCGGAACGGGACTCGTGGCTCCCCCCACAGCCCCGGGTGCAGCAGTCGGTGGGACGCGGGGAAAAAAAAGGGGGGGGGGCACTGGCGTTATTGCTCTTTCCTCTCCTTAAGGAGGTCAAACGCGATCGTTCAGAGCTATTGATTGCTCCTCGGGCTTGTAGTGATTTGTTAAAAGTAAGTAAGGGCGAGCAGGAGGTGCAGGAACCTCTCCGGGAGGAGCCGTGGAGGGAGAGCGCGGGCGCAGCGGGGCGGGATGGCGATGGAGGTGGGGATGGTGTTGAGGATGAGGATGGGGATGGGGCGGAGCGGAGTGGAACGGGGCGGGCCTGGGACCGCGGAGCCGCGGCGGGGACTCCATGGGGCAGGCGCGGAGTCCCCTCCCCGGTGGCCAGGCCGGGCCGGGCCAGGCTGATGGGCTGCGCGGCTGCGGAGGCAGGTGACGGGCCTGGCGTGCTCCGGCAGTGCCCCGCATCCCGCACACCGAGCGTGCCCCGCGCATCCCGCGCCCCGAGACACTTCTGGTATTCCCCTCTTCCCAGATCATTAAGCGAAACCCTCCCCCTGTCCTCATAGATCCTAGAGAAAAACATGGGAATAGGGAAAAGGATGGAAATTGTCACATAGTTAGCTTTAAAGGGCGAATGAGTTTTATGTTGAGGTGTAAGCACAAAACCATCTACTAAAGTCAGACATGCCTTCTTTTTCAGGGCTAATGGAATGAGTCATCGACAGAGTGGATTATTTAAAGCACCATGTGAGTCTATAATCATGTATATATACAAGTTATTATATATTGGAAATCTGTCTCCTCCACTCCCTAGTCTCTTATAATCCTCTGACCAGGAACCAGGCAGTCCCCATGTGGAAATTTAGAAAAGAAAAATCAGTAATGCTCTTAGCATCAAACAATAAATCCTGAAGTTATTTGCCACCACATTTAATTAAATATTTTGAAAAGAAAACCCTTGTGATTGATTTGCCTTCTGTATTGATCCAATATTGATCCTTCGCGTCTTGCTAGTCCAGCTGTGGCATGTGCTAAATGGCTGCGATGCCTAGGAATACCTTCTTATGAATTGCTCCTTAAAATTCACTGTAAAGCTTCCTAAAGACTCACGTCTAGCAAATTTAGTTTGCTTGGATTAGTTTAAGCATCCCATTTCCGAACGCGATCTCCTTAAAAATTTTCTCCTTCACTTTTTTCCCCTCCTACTTCAAGACGTTGTGTTGTTCTCTCCCCTCCGCCGTCCACGCGCAATTCCTCGCCCACCCGAGCTTTGGTGTGACAGGCAGCGCACCAACGCTCTGTGAGCGCAGCTGGCGGCGGGGCGCACCCCCAGCCCCCGACTGCCCCGGAATTTGTTCCCCATAGATCCCTCAGCTGCGATCAGGGGGAGGAAAACTCTCTTAAACAGCGGGGACCGGCGTGCAATGTCGTGGAGGGGCGTTTAAATTCT